TATCCATGAGTGCTGAGTGCTAACTGCTCATGATGAATTCACTTCGCAATGCAAAACAAAATCATTTTTGGATGAATAATTCTTACCCCCCCCCATCCATTCAGCTTGATATTTTGTTTCCAAGTATAGTTCATTGGATAAACTGAGGGAGGTGTTCTCTGCACGGTCCTATTTATGAGCTTCTGAATTCTTTGCATCTATTTCTGGATTAATTTCTGCCTTTACTTTTTATGCAGATTTAAGATGAACTCTCACATTCATTAAAGAACAATGGCTGGCTATGCTGTATAATATATTCTAGTCTTTTTTAATATTATATACTGTCGAAGATTTATACTCGCCTACAATATAAAGAGGATGTTGTGCACAATTGTTGCTTATATTCTGCATTCAGCTTTCTATGTATTACTGCTGCAATCCAATAAAAGAGTAAATAATGTACTGTTCTCAGTGTTATTGCAGATACATAGTGTGAAAGGCAAATGTTCTCATGCACTTGAAAAGACAGAAGTGTACTCTGTACAATTCCAAGTGTACTCTGTACATGATCAATGTGAAAGAGAAACAATCTGAGGACATTTCCCCTGGAAGGTGCCGAGTATACTTGGCAAGTACACTGTATTCAGTACATTTGCAAGTGCACCCAATGCGAAAAAGCCCTCAGTGTAACCTGTTATTTTTACTTCTTGCTACGCTGTTTTTTTCTGCTGAAGAAATGCTTGTGATGATGATTAATTTGAAAAGGAGCCCCAGGGAGGGGAATGAGACTCATGGCTATGCATGTCAAGTGAAAATTTAGAATATTAAAGGGAAATAACATCTTTCAAAACTAAAATAGTCACCAGTTTTCCTTGCTGTACACACAATGTTTCAGTTACAAAACAATTACTGGGCTCTGAGTGGCTTCAACCAGTGAAAGCACTCACTCTGACCAGGTGGAAAGCAACAGCTCAGATGTTGATGGTTTGAGTCTGGGTGGCCTCATGAGTTGACAGTAGATGAAAATGCCCAAGCAGAAGCTCACAACTACCTGGGAACCATCAATGTTGGGTGACCAGGACAATTCCAGGATTTGTTCCAGTTCGCCATGCAACAGCAACTCCCGAGACCTGTCCATAGCTTGCAAACCGGTCATTGTATCAGGGACAGAGGCAAAACTCCTCCAATTACTAGCAACTCTCCTATGAGGTGCCACAGAGCTCACAACATTCCGCCAGTATTAATGATATCCAGAGTCCAAACTTATTCAAGTGCTACTCACAACTGCAACTGGATTTTAAGCAGATATGTCTAGCTGCCTGATACCGTGTACAATAACAGTGGTAGCTAAAATTGTCGTCTAATGAATGAATCCATCTTCATTAAGTGCTGTCTGAAATGGAATTAAGCTCCAAACTCCTAATGAGTTTGCTTGCAAATGCACTGAAAAACTAGCATGAATCCACAGCTGACACACGTTTCAGATAAACTGGAGATCAGTTACCCTTGGGTTACCCATGGGTTACCCAAGAGTTTTCACCTAATTTGTCTTAATATCAAACCAGATTGTATAACAAATACTGTACATCTCTACTAGATACAATTATATTTTCACTAGATATCCTGAAAAATAAGAAAATTATGATATTCTAAAATAAAAAATAAACATACCCACCATGTGATATAATGGTATTTGGCAAATAAAAGAATTGTGAAGGTAGTAAATTGTTTAATTAACAAGAATATTTTACAGGAAATCTTATTAAAATTTGATGTGCTGTGGTAATAGTACTAGTGAGGCCTGTAAACACTACTTCATTCACAGTCTTACACAAGCAAAGTTGTCTGCATTACACAGAACTACATCCCTGAAAAGAGTACAGAGATAAAGATAAGATGTATAAGAAATTATATATAAATAAACATAATGATAAAGATATGAATTTCTGCAAAGACAACAATCTTGTAAGCCACTATTACACAGAATACTATTCACAAGACAATACAATAACGCATCTAAGCATTTCTTAGATTCAAAGTTCTTTTATTCCAACTATTTAAATATTATAGTAAATCCTGTTTAACAGAATAATGTGGGTCTATTATTGTTGAATGTTCATTAAATCATTGTTTTTTCAGCTCCAAAACACAGTATTATATAAGAAACATAAATAAACAGAAAACATACAGTATGGACAATCTACTGTATCTACAGTGTATTATCTGTATCATAATATACTGTACTGTAACAACTACAATCAATATAGTCAGAGTCTACTGTTCATGTGCCATTTTACCATAAATCAAGCTTTTTATATCATGTATTATAAATATACAGAATAAACAGCATTAAAGCAAACATCGCCTCAAGCGATGGGGGATGCCAATACATGTGTTGGTGAACTTCTACCGCTGCACTATCGAGAGCGTCCTCACCACCGGGATCACCGTGTGGTATGGCAACACCTCTTCGCGAGAAAGAAAGGCACTGCAGAGAATGGTCAATATGGCCCAGAAGATCATCGGCTGCGGTCTCACCGAGATTAAACAGCTCTATGAGGACCGCTGCCGTGGTAGAATTCTGGCCATCACAGAGGACAGTCACCACCCAGGGCATGAGCTCTTCACCCCACTGCCCTCAGGCAAGAGATATAAGGGCATACGGACACTTACCACTAGATTCTTCAATAGCTTCTATCCACAAGCAGTGAGACTGGCGAACACATTTAGCCATCCCCCTCGGACCACACCTTCACCATCACCATCTACCTCATTGTAATTTATTAATTGTACGTCTCCAGTCATTGTTTACACGTCTGTATTGTTTACATTCAAACTGTCTACATGTTTACTTATTGTCTATTGTTTGTTTGTACATTGTCTTGATGCACTGTTTGCACTTTGTTTTGTTTTTTACACTTGCTTTATAATCGAGAGACTTTCTGTAAGTAAGAATTCCATTGTACCAGTACCGGTTCCATATGGCAATAAAGTTCAAGTTCAAGTTCATAACGCTAATCATATGTAATTTGCCTACCCCTATAGCAAGTGCTCTATACTTTGTCCATCATGGAGGCAAAGTCCAGTGTTTCTGATTTTAAAGACAAACTTCCCCATAGCAGATTCTGTCCATTAAATCCGAAGCCTGCTGGGGGGGAAATTCCGTTAAACCAAGGGTAGAACGTAATCAGAAAACAACTGTCACCAAGAGCGCTTAGTATCCTAACTGCCATGCTGAAAAAGGGACCTAAATGAACTCTTTATCCTAGGGTAGTGGGCATAAAATAAAGTCTGAGTTTTTTACATTTTTTATTCAGAAAAAAAAAACTTCCAAGACAATGACGGCAAGCCGAAATGAATATAAAGCTCATTCAAACCCCTGAGGAGTTTGCAATAAGCTCATGGTATAAAAAAAGTCTTGTACTATACAAAATGTTTAATGACTTCAGCTCCTCAAGTGAACCCACTCCTTTTTGCATCACAAATGAGAAAGGGAGAAACTCTCCACCTTCAAGCCCGTCTCCTTCCCACAGCGACTGTCTCTCCAGTACTACTCAGTACCGCCCTGCTGCTGATTCTGGGGCACTGCGTTTTGTTAAAACAACTTGCTACCTGTTCGTAATTTAACTATGGATTAAGACTGCTTTCTCTCCTGGAGTAAGACATTTCCTTTAAGCTTGGAGTTTGTTTCCATATTCTTCTTTCAAGTCTCAAATTTGATTCAAATCAAATTTAAAAGTCTTACTGTTAGCGATGAATAACATATGTTTGGATCTGTAAAACACTTATTTTCCAAATAGATAGGGAATTATTTTTTTAATCAGTAACCAATACAATTTATGACTGTGTAAAAGCTGTAAACGCCAATTAAAAGGGATCCACAACGCTGCAGCTGTTTAATGTATTTTAAAAATGACAACTGTCTTTCTGTTCTGCAGAAATAAAGGGTCACTGGTGTAAAATATATGTTGTGTTGTGTATTCCATTTAATTTGTGAGGGTCTAAAAGATTTTTCCGTCTTACATGACGTTCATCTCACCCATTACATGAAGAAATCCTCCCTCGCCATGTCTTTGGAACCTCTTGCAAAGCACAAGTGGCTAATCCTAATCAATGTTTACGTCCTTGTGAAATGTCTTGATTAGTGCTGCTTTCAGAGGAGCAATAGCAATGGAATGAGTTAATTGGGATCAATCTGCTCTGAGCTCACTTTGCTCCCCTGGGTAAAAGGGCTTAAGTAAAGATGTGCCAGGGCTGATTATTAAAGAGATTAAAGAAGCAGGCAGACACTCCTAAAGACACTTCAACAATGACAAATGCATGTATCTATAATGCTGCCTATAAAATATATTTTGGGAAATGCTCTTCTCTAACATTAGTCTTGCTATTTGGGCTGGCAAAGGGTTCTCCAAAGGTATACACTCAGAAGTATAAGGAAGCTCTTGATTCTGAATTATCCTCCTTATTATTCTGTACTTCATGTCTTAATAGAACAACTGCCTTCTTGAGCCGCTAACCTGAGGTTAACAATTTTTATGTAAATTAAAAAAGGGAGCCCATTTTGAACTGATAAAACAACTCTTCCTGAAGTTTTGCAATGAATACACTGCTCTTGCACTTACGCACACGCCTGTGGGGTCTAGGTGTATCCAAAGATCAAAGACCAACAGGCAGTTTGCAGAAACATTAGAAATAAATGAGCTCACAAAGGCCTCTTTTTTCAAAAAGGGAATAAAGCAGTGTAGCAGCCATGGGAACGTTAAAGCAGTCTTTCTTCCTTTGTGGGACATGTGACAAATTGTATTTACTTTGACAGCTAATTAAAGATGATGTCAGAATGGAACCGCTCCAAGCCACTTTTGATTTAGTGATGCACAGGTTCATGCAAAAGTTTAAGTTAAGCTACTTAAAAAAAAACTTAAAATTAAAAATTAATAAATTGAGGCTTCTGTAGCGATCAACTACCATCTTATTAGGAAATGTTTTTAAGAAAGAGGGTATTCTGCGAGGAAAATACTTACATCAGGATATTCTTTTACAGGCACATAAAGTTTTTCTTGCAATTGAACAATAGGCCCCACAGCATCAGGTAGTTCTGAGCTCTTCTTCTCTGTGCTGCCGTTTAATGTGTCATTGTACATGTCCTTTCGTACTCTGCTGATTTCTGAAAAAGAAGAGAAAAAAACTCAATATTACCAACTTGCATAATATAAAATGTGATACGTTTCCTATCGGACACAAAAAAAATCAATAAAAGGAATCTGAGGATACTTATTTCTTGACTTATCATTGTGAATATAAAAAACAATAAAATGTGATCCCACATTTAACATATGTACATAACCACATCCCAGAGCAACATTAAAAGTCAGAGGCGATCATGTCGAAGCCAAGCAAAGGTTCCTTCACTTAATATTTGGCAATTAAATTAATTTGGTTAGAACTCAGTAAATTCCTCAAGCAACAGACTTGTCAAATAGTTAAGGGGTTTGGCACAATTTTACAAACTGCAGGGTTTCTTTGCAATGCTTATGGTATAAGCTCAGTTTGCATCCTGAGGACAAGACAATAACCTACTCTGTTGCCTTTATCTTGACGAAAACATTCTTCAAAAAACACAAATAACTCAGCTATAATCCTGAAATTACAATGCCTTCATTGTACTCCAAAAAGGCACCACTGACGTTTCTTTTTCCCCCCTGTGCAGGCAAACATACAATCAAAGACAGACACTTCCATTTATCGAAGCGAGATTAGTTTCTCTTGCTTAGCCGAATGCATTCCACAACATGCATTCCCCTTATTATCTCGTTCTCTCAAGCGTCCTGGTGCTGCCTCCAGCTAGGAGCATCCAGGACAAGCCAGGCAGAATGATGGATCAGCCGTCACCACTGGAAAACATAGGAATTCACCTTGCAGCCACCACACACAGCTGAGGAGGCTCCTTTCTCCACAGCTGAGCACCCTACTGCTCTCTGCTCTATGCACAGGATAGATGTTGGCAAAAGAACTCTGTGCAGATAAATAATGGATTTCATTGTTATTTACATTAGGTTTTGCTGCCTAACTAAATAAATTGTAATACATTATTTCACCTTCTAACCTTAACAACTGTGGTACCTGAGAGGCATTCTAAGCTTAGCTGAATGATAGATGAAGCAGTTTGCTCAAGTGCTAGGAGCTTATTCTACTAGTTAGGTATCCAGCTGTGAGGTAAGTCAAGGGCACAAAGTCAATGAACAGGTGTTACATCTGCTTTTGTATGTCATGTCCAGACGAACTGGCACTGGGGCACGAGATTTCTCCATTCAGATACAAGGCTACAAGTCATGATCGCCGACAGCAGTCTGACAAGATTCCCAGAGGGGCTTATGAGATAACATTCCTTCAAACTCACTGTATACAACTGAATGGCTTCCTAAATGGTATAACATGCATGGCCCATAAAAGGTTAAGTGCTCCCCATAAACTTTTCACAGGAATTCAGCACATTTATTTATATGAAAACTATAACCTCAACATAACCTCAATAGAAGAGATTTTGAACTTCTAGGTGTGTCAAAGATTTTCCACTAGCTGCACTAAAGCAGTTCCTAACAGAACAACATTAAAGTGTATGATAAAGCCCATGCAATATTTACCAGCATCTATTTCACCTGACCTTAAACACACTGCATTTTTTATGCGGCTCTCCACTGCCCATAGGTCACACCAGGAAACTGAAAAACTGGAGAGTAATAATAACTATAATCACATGTGATCTAATCTTTGATTTAACAGAAGAGTAATAACTTCCATTTCTTAAATCAACTGCATTCCTCCCCTGAGGAGGAACGAGACTGCTTTAATAAGGTGGGAATGATAATTAAAACCATCAACTTAGTTAATATTTCATAAAAGACTTTAAATATCCAAGTCCCCAGCTACACTGCACTGTATAATGCTATTACTTAAAAAATGAATTCTCCACAGCAATTCACAGGGGCAAACATTGGGGAGGTAAATGGTTTAATTACAGTGAAGTTGAACTACAGGAGACACCCTGGCTCGCAGTCTACGGTTCAATAGGACGGACTAATTACTTCAGACATAAGATCCTATATGAAATACTGTAAACAGTGTGAGTTTACAACATGTGTGAATAAATATGGACTAGTACATGTGGGTTTTCATTAACAGTAATACGATTAGTTCACAAGTCTCTTTTTATTAAATCATGATTTAAGATTCATTTAAATGTGCTACTGGGGGAAAAAAATCCCATCTGGAAGATAATACACACACCTCATTGAAACAGACACCTCAGTGGCGGAGTAATAGCTTACATTAAACCAGTTCAGAATTTAAGCATAAAATACAGTATAAACCGAGAATACGATAACATTTTTTCACATTTCCAAAACTGAGATTGGCAAACAAAACACCATGTGGTTAAATCTCACAGAAACGATGCCAAGGTCAGACCACACTGGTGAACCAGAAGCATCTTTGATCTATATGCGAGAGGAGTGGCTTAGAGATGGAAGACAGTGAAAACAATGTGAGTTTACAACTGATTACTAGGCTGATCCTTTGCTCATCTGGGTACAAAAGCTATGTGTGTGTGCCGCATGTGGCAATAATCTCACGTCTAGTAATATTAAAGGACTTCACTCAATTGCCTAGTTAAAGACACAGAAGGATCGACCAATGTTTAAAACTCTCACCGCCTGGGCTAAATATACACCATAATTAAAACTCAAGTTTAATGGGAACCTTTAATTCCCATTAGGTTTACTGAAGTAGAAGCATTAAAGGGGCCTGCTCTGTGAAGTAGTGAATTAATAGCAAATGTTCAAGCTCCAATCTTGTAATTTCAATCACCCTGGCTGAAATACAGAAAGGTTTATGCACTGGCATTCATTTTCATTTAACACCCAAACCACTGCACTGTAATGATGCAACTAACCAATGAAGCCTTGAAAAATAATTAAACACCTCTTTAGTTTCTTCCGTTTCCCTTCAGCAGATTCTCATCATCCTCCTGACCACACATGACACGCTCTTCTTTTTTTATCTTCTAAGTTATACTCTTACTCCATTGTTTTCAGTCATTTCACTGGTCTCTCTGTTATGACAGCAGCTCACCAATATACAGAAGTATTTTTCCCAATAACAGTTTTCAAAAGCCTTGTGAAAAAGGAAGTCTCTTGCCCTGTGGTACTTTTTCCAGAAAGTGCTCCTGGCGAACATACGTAATTATAAAATGAATGTGCTCACAACCGTTTTGTCTGAAGGAATTCCTAATCTTCTCTGTTTATTATATGAAGCCAACAATCGACAGAGAAATGAGTACGCATTGAAATTTTAAATCCTGCCTTTGATCGGGTTTCAGAAAGGTTTCCTACCTTTATGTCTATTTCATCCTCTACATAAAACAACACAAGAACACCTTGGCCTTTTTTGACATTGGCACTCTAGACTGAAAACCATTATCTAACAGGCTGTTAAAAGCTTAAGATTTAATACAATGTATGACAATTTTCCATTAAGGCAATATGTATATAATGAAAACGTTTCTTCCGTTATACTTTTGTTGTTTCCAAGCCTGCTGTCAAGAATTTAAACGGCTGCCTAACCTTAATCATAAACTTAATTAAAAGTAAACACAGGTGGGTGGAAGGGTGGTTAGTATTTCTGGCTTGCAGTGCTGGGGCCCTGGGTTCAATTCCAGATCTGGGGTGCTATCTACGTCGAGTTTGTACGTTCTCCCTGCATTATCATAAGTTTCCCCTGGGTGCTCCAGTTTCCTCCCACACTCTGAAAAAATACTGGTAGGTCAATTGGTTTCTGAGAAAACTGGCCCTAGTGTGTGTGTGTGTGTGTGCGCGCGCGTCCAATCCAGGTATTCCCCGCCTTGTGCCCACCGCTCGCCAGGATAAGCTCTGACTTCCCCATGAACCTAAATTTGATGAAGCAACAAAAAAAAATAAATCGATGGATGGATAAAAAAAGGTTTACGGCAAAGATATGAACAGCACATTTACTATACGATATAAAATATTACAAATTTTACTAATGAAGTTTTAAGTCTTCCTGTCCGCCTTTGAAGATTTTTTAAATTTATTTACTGATTTTAAAGACTAGCTGGTATGTTTCACTTCTGACATGGTGACTTCATAAGCAACACATACAGTACAGTAATTGTGAGTTATACAATCCCATTTAGCATTTTGTGTACCATAAGGTACAAAATATCTGAAAATGTAGGATTTGAAGGATTTGGTAAATTATTTTCATCACCTTAATGCTTTACCATAAACTGATAACTAGCTTTTTATAAAAAATTACGCTCCATATTTCTTTTTCTTTCTTATTATAGTTGTGTCCAGGAGTTCAGCTGAGGACTAGGTCTTAGGATGATTAAACTGTCACGCAGGTGATTAATGGACAGCACTTTTAGTGATTTGTCAGCTTTCTGGATCCGAGAATTCAATCATTTTCTTTGGGTTGCTAGCCTACAGGTCCACACAAGTTATGCCACTGAACACTACAGCACAGCCTGTGTCAACTGCGACTGGAGGAGAACACCCACAGGCTCTTCTCCTGCTAAGAGCTTTCAATTGACATTTGAGTACATTCAATGCCATGGGCAGAGTGCTATATTTCTTACCATTAACATTCATTTAACATTTTATTGGCTTAAAAATGCCAAATCTTATCGGCAAAATTGTTTCCTCCACAATTTGCCAAATTCTTTTTCCAAGAAGAAACTATTTTGGCACTCTGAACATTTTTCTTTTTAGGTATCCATTTTAAAGACTGCCTCTTTAAAAAGCCTGAAAAGCACTTGGAAGTACAAAGACGGTAACCTTTTTGCTTTAATTTGTAAAAGATAATCGCTTGAGCTGCAACACATCTGTGACAAAACGGTTTTATAACACTCCCAAGCGGAAAACTATTACTAGACCAGCACTGAAAAAAACTAAATATAAAAAGCAATAAATTACAAAACACATGGGTTGAACATACTGACCAAATTCAAAAGTTTAAACCTTTATCTCCCCTTAGCTGAATTTTAATTACTGCCAATCACAACAACTGGGAAAAAATCATTGCACTCAAAAACATGGCAGGTTATACAGCTCACAAGGGGTGGTGCTGCCTTTCTGGACTTTCTGTATA